GAGGGAGAGGGGGTAGAGGGAGAAAGAGGGAGAGGGTGAGGGAGAGGGAGAGAGAGAGGCAGGGAGGGAGGGAGAGAGAGCGAGCGAGAGAGAGAGAGAGAGAGAGGGAGAGAGAGAGGGAGAGGGAGGGAGAGAGAGAGAGAGAGAGAGAGAGATAGAGATAGAGAGAGAGAGAGAGAGAGAGAGAGAGAGAGAGAGAGAGAGAGAGGGCAGGGGGGCGTCTGCAGAGGGCTTGGTGGAGAGGGAGAGAGTGCGAAGAGAGTGCGACGCACCGCCCTCCTCGGCCGAGTCACCTGCCCGCTGCTCTGCCGTCACAAGCTCGTCCTGCGAGTGGCAGGAGGGGTGGGGGAGGGTGGGTTCGGGTACCGTGGGGTAGGGGAGGGTGCCCAGCCCCTCCTGCGAGTGGTACGAGACCATCGAGAGGCGCTGGCTCGAAGAGCGGTGCTCGAGGTACGCGACCTATCCACGCCCCGACCCTGCCGTCACCTCGCCCGCCCTCCCCACCGGCTTCGGAGAGCGCTGCTTCAGGGTGCGCGGACCGCGGGCAGTGCGCTGAGTGAGCTGGTCCGCGCTCTCTCCGCCTCCTGCTCCTCGGCGAAAAGCTCGCCGCGCGCCTCTGCGCGGCGGCGCATGAGCTCCGAGTGCAGCACCAGCATGCTCTCCGTCGCACGCGTCCTCCGCTGGTACCGCCGCCGCAGGCACCACATCCAAAGTGTGACGGAGCAGCAGATGCAAAAGATGAGCGCCGCAATCGCAAGCCAGAGGTCGAGGAGCTCGGGGAGGAGGAAGCCGGAGACGGCGGTGCAGCTGTAGTGCATGATGAAACTCGAGCCGCCCGACGGCGCGTCGAGCACCAGCACCACCTCGTCCGTTGCCTGGGTCAGCCACAGCACCGGAGGGATCGGGTTCGAGGCGCTGAACGGCTGGCTGTGCTGCGTGAGCGAGCGCAGCTGGCCGTCCGACTCGACGGCGAAGAAGTCCAGGGTGTCCGTGCCCTCGAAGTAGGACTGCGACGTGTTAAACTGGATCCGGTCCAGCGACTTCCCCGGCGCTATCCGCCACGCCCGCGCCTCGCACCCGTCGGCTCCCGCAGCCTGGGCGTTGATCGTCGCAGACATCGACGAGAGAGTGAAGGCGCAGGCGGGAGGGATGGTCTGCTCATTGACGACCAGCGCCGCGGAACCGAGCGCGGAGAGCAGCGCGCACCACATCGCGGCGCTCCGCTTTAGCCGCCGCAGAAAAGTGGGCGCGTATGTGGGCTCGCGCAATTTTTTTTTAGCCTTCGATGTTTTGAAACAAACGCAAGGAGGACACACACACATCGCTCTCGGGCCCACAGACATCCCGCACACCCGCCGCCCCCGCGCGCGCCCCACCCCGGCCGGGAGAAAGGGGAGTGACAGTTTGGGACGGCAACAGTCCGAGTAATTTTTTTTGAAGTACATGAAGCACTAGAACATACCCGAGGGATCTGTCTAAATGTAGCACTAGAACATACCGAGGGATCTGTCTAGCGTCCACCCATACGGCGTTGGTGTCCAGTCCGAGCCTGACTGTTCTTCACCTTTCTACCTAACCTACAAACAAAACTCTCTCTCTCTCTCTCCTAACCTAACCGAGGGTGAACTTTTTTGAGCTGACTTCGTTGTTAATAGAAACAAGCGAAGGCACACACAACAACACAAAATGACGCCAAACACACGATTGCACGCACCGCACCGCACCCCGCACCCCTCGCCCGCCGCCCCCCCAGAGGGCCATGCGATTGCGCGATCACTCGCTCACCCGGAGCGTCCAAAAGTGTAACCGCCTTGGACGGAATGCATGCAGGGCAGGAACGCGCGCTTTTGAGCCGAGAACGCACGGACACCGCGGAAACGGGCGCGATTCGTCGACCAGGGAGAGCTGGCCCAGCCGCTTGAGGAGGTCGGCGGTACGTACGTCCCAACACCATCACACGGGGGACGCATGTCCTGTCGTCGCCCTCGGAATCAACAGGACCACAGACAGAGAAGAAGACGAGGCGCGGCGAGGCCGCGGCCGAGAGGAAGGGAAGAGGGGAAGGCGGGCCCCGCAAGACCAGTACTTGATCTATATGACTACCTCTACCAGTTAAAAGAGAGATTTTAGAAAACCAACAAGAAATCAGAAAAAAATAGTGATTTGGGCTCGGCAGATTGTCAGCCCTCAGCCGAAGCTGGCGCGCGGCGGCCCGGCCCAGTGCCCCAGCGAGCCCCCCTCCCGCCCGCTGAGAACAGCGCCGAGCGCGGGAGGAAGCGGGCGCCTGTCTGTCTGCGAAGGCGCCTGTCTGTCTGCGGGCGGTGTGCTTTTTTCCCTCCCTGCGAGCGTTGTTTCTTTCTTCTAGTGCCGGTGTGTGCCAGTCTGCCCTTGTCGTGCCAATGTGTTGGCGATCTTGGCAATGGCCCGCTGGATGGTGAAGCTGCTGTTGAGCTGGAAAGCCAACAGTGAAGCCTTGCCGAGCTGGCAGCTCTGCCGCAACTTGGCTATCAGTCGACACTCCTCTCCCGACAGCGCCTCCCACACACCGCCGATGTCAAAGAGAGAGGGGAAGTAGACGAGGGCGGGCTGGACGCAGCCATCCATGCACCCCGTCGCGACGAGCGGAAGGCGAGGGTCCTGCCGGTACGCACGTGCCAGGACCGGGCACTCCTCTGGCGTGAGCGGCTTTGCAGAGAGTTGCGAATCTCAGGAGAAGCGGAACGCCTCCCCGAGCAGAAAGTAAGTCCCGGTCGTCCTCCGCGTAGCACTGTATGTATGTATGTAGAAAGATGAACCAGTCAGGCTCGGACTGGACACCAACGCGGTATGGGTGGACGCGGGACAGATGATGACGACACGCACGAACGCTTTGCACACATCGGCACTAGAAGAAAAGAAACAACACTCCAAGGGCGAGGGAAAAAAGCACACCGCCCGCAGACTCTCTGGACCAGGCGCCCGCTTCCTCCCGCGCTCGGCGCTGTTCTCAGCGGGCGGGAGGGGGGCTCGCTGGGGCACTCTGGGCCGGGCCGCCGCGCGCCACCTCCTACGCGCTGCCCGCGCGCGCGCTTGCCCACGGCCCTCCCCCAGCCAGCGCGCCGACGCTCCCTCCTGACGCGGCAGAAACTGCATCAACTATGGCTGCCACCAAGCGCATCAACAAGGAGCTGCAGGACCTGACCAAGGATCCGCCCTCCACCTGCAGCGCGGGCCCCGTGGGCGACGACCTCTTTCACTGGCAGTCCACCATTATGGGCCCGGTGCGGTCTTCCCGCCGCGACGCTGGGCCCCGCGCAGCACTCGGCCTGACCGCCTGGCCTCGGCCCCCCGCGGAGCGCAGAAGGAGTCACCGTATGAGGGCGGCATCTTTTTCTTGAACATCAACTTCCCCTCCGACTACCCCTTCAAGCCGCCAAAGGTCCACGCCGCACCGCCGCAAGGAGCACGCACTCGCACAACAGACGCGTGGGGATGGGGGCTTGGTGTGGCCGGGGCGCGGCGTTCGGCGCGCCGCGCGCGTGCCCGAGCTCGCTCGCCTCGCGCCGCCCGCTCTCCCTCCGCGCCGCCCTCTTCCACTCTTC